TTATCCTATGAGGCACTAGAGTAGGCTCTAGTGGAGGAAATACAAAGGGCTAACTCTTTGTCCTCACCCCATCCACACACACGGAGAGCTATCGGCAGTAGTCTTTGCCCCAGATTTCCTGCAGGTATTTTTGTGAATCAGATGGAACACTGGACTAGGAACCAGAAGACTTGGCTTTAATTCCAACCCTAGAACACGCCTTGCATCCTTAGCCAAGGTGTGCCACCTGTGCCTTGATTTTCTCATTTAAAAAATTATATTGGGGCAGCTAGGTGGTGCAATGGATAGAGCACCAGCCCTGGAGTTAGGAGGACCTGAGTTCAAATCCAGCCTCAGACGCTTGACACATACTAGCTGTGTAACCCTTGGCTAGTCACTTAGCTCTGATTGCCTCAAAATTTAAAAAAAAATTTATATCGCCGGACTTGATTATTTTTAAGATCTGTTCAGCTCCAGCATAGTATAGTGTCAAGAGCACTAAATCTGGCACAGTGGGTAGAATGTGGGGCCTGGAGTCAGGAAGTCCTTCGTTCAAATTCTGCTTCAGACACTTGCTCTGTGACCCTGTCCAAGTCACTTAACCTCTATCTGCTTCAGTTTCCTCATCTATAAAATAATAGGTGATAATAATAGCACCTACCTCAGGATTGCTGTGAGGACTAAATTACATAGCATGTGTAAAGCATTTTGTAAACTTAAAGTACTGTAAATGTTACTGATTGTTGTTGTTATTATTACCTTCGTTCAAATCTTAGCTCTGCTACTTACAACCTGTGTGGCCTTGAAAAAAATTAAAACCTCCGTGGGCCTCAGTTTCCACATCTTGCAAAGTGAGGAAATTGAACTCGGTGCTTTCTACAATCTCAAATTCTCTTCTACCCTGAGTTCCAATTACAAACATCAAAGGCTATTTTTCTCTTTTAAATATTCTCAATAATTGATATTCTTACTCAACACAGATCTTGTTTTTATACTGCTAAAGAAAAAGAATTGTCAACACTTATATCATATTCAAATTAAATTGCCTGGTCCCTATAAATTTGGCTTCTGTTATGTTCAAGGCCAGTTCAAAATACATAAAAGCATTAACGACTGAATTGAACATTCATCCTGCTGGATGGTTTAATGGGGAATAATTTTCTCCAAACAAATCAAGGAAACCATGACTCATTAAGCTTACCAGCTAGGCAAAAGTTTTTGATCAAATAGACATAAAATGCTAACACAGGTTGTAACCTAAGCTTGTTTAATGAAGCCATGGAGACACCACATGCTCAACTGATCCTCACTGTCTGCTCAGTCTCCTTGGAGCCCCTGTTGGTCTTACTTGGGATGCAATCTGAACACACACAGCATTAAAAGACTATACCACAAAAATGAGTGTTGAAGGCAATTCAATTCAATCTATTAAGTGCTTACTACACTAATAGACACTATGCTGAATAATGGGGGATACAAAAACAAAAATAAAAGATCCCATCCCTCAGGGAACTTACTTTCTACAGAACAACACCGCTAACATTTCTCACAATTCATTCTCCTCAGTGAGATAGAAAAAACACTGGGAAAGGTCATTTTATTTAGAATTATTTTACCTCCAAAACAAAGATTTGAACCAAAATGTCCTGGTAGATTAAAAAAAATTATTTAAATGGCGTAAAACCAAGCCCCAAACAAAACAGGGGAAACATAACATAAAATTGAAAGAGAAAAGCCCAATTTCCTTCCAGCTCTAAATTCCATGCTCCCATGGAAAATGTCTTACTATTCCAAAATCTATTAAATTAGCACACAAGCACTATTGTGCTTAAGGAATGACCCAAATACAATAATTCTAGCATTCAGAGCATGCAAACTAAAAGATGACCCAATAAATACATACGACTGCCATCAATGAAGGTTGAAGTAGTGGGCAAGAAGAGCTCTTGTACTTGGGGAGAAGCTACTGCTACCGGGGACTGATTGGTTCTCACTGCTTTGTGACCGAGAAAAGAAGAACGGAAACCAAATTAAGTGCAAGTTGCATGTATAACATTCATTACCACAAAAAGCCAGTGTTCTGTTTTCTTTTCCTAGCCTAGTGGAGATGATGCTTGCCTAGTAAATCCCACCCAGTGAAGGTCTCTTTTAAATCTTCGGGCCTCTCTGTGAAGTTCAGAAGCCTTTTACCTGGAGTCTCTCCTTTTCTTCCCAACCTAACTCTGGCTAAAGTCTTCTGATGCCCAAGTCCTTAGCCACTAAACATGGTCATGCTTGGTGCTACAATAGGAAAACAGGGGTCTCGGGTTCTAGGTCAAGCTCAAGAGCTACCTGGCCAGGTCCCCTGTATCACAGGCAATCAAAGGAAGATCTACATACAATAGTTATTTTTGTTCAGGGACATTCTAAAAG